TCCGGATGCGTGCAACCAATAACGAGAGGATAAGCCGGGTGCAGTCAATTCAATAACTCCGTTAGGGTCATTGATCTTAATTTCGGACACACCACACATCAATACCCTGTGTGTCCAAGGTGCGTGCGAGTGCAGCCTGCTGACCTGGTTGTCTTAGAGTGCGGACGTTGAATGTCGCCATGGAAACGGGACAGCGTGGCCTTATAAGGGACTTTTGCCGATAGGCGTCCGATAGTTGCTGTGGGATGGCTGCAGATGGTACTACTCCAGTAGCACTTCGGTTGCTTTCAATTAAGCTGGGAATTATAGAAGGAAGGTTGGTAATGGGGCTCGGGATGGGAGTAAGAGAAACAGGTGGAAAAAAGAAGGGAGGTGCCAGCAGTAGCATGTTTTCGCTTATCAACCCTGCTGTATGCAGCAGATAAGGCGACCCTTGATAATCTGCGCGACGGCCGATGCAGGATGAAGTTAATGTTTGAAGAAAATGTCATGGTTGTTTGTGGGCTGAGCTACTGCCAGGACGCACAGACCTAGACAGGAGGACGATTAGGGTCCTCATCCAAAGCCTTTGGCTCAAAAGCCTGTCCGCAAGGCAGCGCGGTGGCAGTGATTTAGTTTTACAGGAATGGATGCCATCCCATTTCAAACCCCCTAACCTGGCGGACCAGGATACTGAGTTTGTCTGACCACTGACCCACCTGGTAAGAGTAACTCTCAAGGTGCCCGGAGGCACCACCCAGTATAGCTCAATGGGTCAAAGAGGTACGCAAACCCTCGCACCACGTTAAGATCCAGTCTCGTTGCGACGGGCTGTGGCCTTTTAACCACGGCCTTTCACATGGAGGGAAACACCTATCGCTAAAAGTGTCGCAAGTTCAAGAAGTTAGTTCTGGCTTTTCCAATGTGTGAGCTGACTTCATTGGTTAAGTGCTTCTCATTGGTGATGCAGCTGCTTAGGTCATCATCCCCAGCACACGTTATCTGACGGTGGGAAACACACCTCCGCTAATTTGGGCGGTGGTGTGGTAAAACGCGGTTTAGCATGCTTGGTCGCCAACGCCCTAACCGAAGGTAGCATTGTCGGACAGCAGAGAGAGAGAGAGAGAGCGGAGAGTCGCTAAAACATTGGTTCTTGGTATCGTCAGGACTGCAGTCGGTGAGGCATAAACTGCAACCCTATCGAAACAGTGTCTAGTGCTACTTCGTGAATTTACCTTAGTTGATGTCGTCAAACGGGCTGCACACAAACGGCTGTTCACGGGAATCCAATCAGCCAACGATAAGCTGAGAACGATGCCCACTCCATCTTGACCAGTGATTGCCGCGGCCGCGTCTCCGGATGTGTGCAGTTGGTTAAACAAACTCGCGGGTGTCATTGATCCTAGTTTCGTACACACGACACACATCAATACTCTTGGCGTCCAACATGCGTGCGACTGCAGTCTGTTAACCTATTTGTTTTTGAAAGCGAACCTTGTACGCTGCCAGGGAAATGGGACAGTGGGGTCTGATAAAAGGGTGTTGACGACAGGAGTCTAGTGGACAATGCAGGAAGCCAGCTGTAATAACGAAAATCTAATGGTACTGCAAACACCTTCATTTAAGCTGGGGATTGTAGAGGGAAAATGAGAAATGGGGATCGGCAGGAGGTTAAGGAAAACTGTTGAAAATAAATAATTAGAGTATCAGCTGTAGCATGTTTCTGCTAATACACCCTGCTGTATACTACACATAAGGTAACCTTTTTAAAACTGCGCCGCGGCCAATGCAGGATATGGCTTGATGTTAAGGATAAACCATTTATTCATGGGTCGAGATATTGCCAGAGTGCTCAAATATAGATGGGAAATCGATTTGTGCTCTCACCCAAAACCTGTTCGTATTGCAGCGGAGATATGGCAATACTCCAGTTATACTGAAATTGACGCCATCCTATTTCCAATCCCTAACCTGAAGGGCCGGGTGACTTAGTTCGTTTGACCCCTAACCATACGTAAGAGGTCCGTTCCATCTTTCTGACTTCGTTTTTCAAAGGTTTCCTTTACCATTGTTTTATCCTTTTAGCTTGTTGTATTGTATTGTTGAAGAACATGATTCTTTTGTGCACACAAAACATCAACTTTTACTTTTTAGGGATAGCTTCTCGGCAGATTGATGGTGTGGCGATGGGTAGCCCACTAGATCCGTTACCGACAGATGTATTCATTGATGTGATTGAAGAAAACGCAGATTACATCATACGCTCGGCCACTCCATACAAGCGTTATGTTGGTGACATATTGATACTCATGGACTCCGTGGTGGACATCGCGCATGCGACCGAGACACTCAACAAAATGCGTGACAATGAGAAAGACAATTGTCTTCCGTATCTGGACGTGCTGATTACACGATGGCCAGACGGTTCCAACAGAAGGTCTGTCTAAAAAAGGCCGATCTGGACTAGCCAATATTTGCATTTTACGAGTTTCTCTCCAATCTAACACAAAGGCTCTCTTGTCCGGACACCCTTATCAGGCCAACATGATTTGCACCCCAAACACTATAGAAGCAGAAAGGAACTTGCTATTCAACATGCTGCAATCCAACGGTTATCCGTTAAAGTTTATTGAGCGCTATTGTAAAACGAAGAAGCAAGATCGTACGCTAACAGTCCCAAAGAAGCCTATTTTCGTTGAGCTATCTTTCAAAGGTGACAATGTGATGATGACCACTGAGAAACACATAAATGCCTCATTGAAAAGAGCATACAACATGGCGGAATTGCGGCTGCTCATCTCGACTAGATCTATGCTAATGTGTTCGATGAAGACACCGATGACAAAGTAGTGTACGTCCCACTGTCTATACAAATTTACCTGTAGCTGTGGGGATAGCTACGTCGGGCGCACTGACCAAAGAATCAGAATCAATGAACACATCTCAAAGTGGTTACGCAGCTGCATGGGAGCTGTGACGACGGAATCAGTTGACTCGGGAAACCGAGCTACCTCAATAGCCACCTGACTGCTGGTCACCGAGTCAATCCTTATGAACCGTTCACAGACCTAATGCGCGATCAGCGGTCTCAAATTTTTAGGCTATTGGAGGCTATCGTTATCGATCGCGAACGATCACCACTGTGCATTCAAAAACAGCTGACAGTGGCTCTAAACCTACCATCGTAGTTCATGCGTTCTACTATCTGTGATCATTGTTTATGTTCCAAGGTTGCTTGTTTTTGTGATTGATAAGAATGCACAAAATGGCGGCGCCTCTGCCGAACTCCACGTGTTCAGTCCCTATTGAACTCGATAGCCTGGATTGTGGTGTAGTTGTCCGCAGTCTACTCACCAGTCTTGACGGCACGAAACCTGCCGAACGCAATGAACTTCACCCGTTTATTTTAAAGTCCTTATCGCCATCATCTCGCCTGCCGTGACCGATCTGTTCAACAGATTGTTTTCCGAGCTACTGGAAATGCTCGATAGTGAAGCCGGTTTCAAAAGGATGGGGCCCAAGCAATGTGGATAATTACCGACCGATTTGTCTCACCTCTGTTTTGGCGAAGGGGCTCAAGAAGATTGTGAAAAAGGATCTTCTCCAACTGTTAGAGACGAAAGATCTCCTAACGCCGGCACAGCACTGCTTCATGAAGGGCCGCTCGTACATCATAAACCTGCTGTTGACCCGGCAGGAATTGTTGTCAGCGTTGAACTGGCGAAAGTCAGTGGATGTTATCTACATTGATTTCAATAAAACTTCCGATAAAGTGAAGAATATGGTCCTGTTCCACAAGCTGAGGGTGTGTGATGTTGGTGGCGCATTGCACCAGTGGATCAGTGACTTCCTTATTGCGAGAAGATGGCGGATACGGGTGAATGACTACCTAAAGGACTCTTACCCATCCATTAGCGGTGTACTCCAAGGCACAGTACTGGGGCCCATTTTATTCCTGATCCACATAAATGAAGTGCCTCCGTTTCTTCGGTCGCCTTGTGCACTGTTTGCAGACGACTTGGAAAATTGGAAGATTATTGATTCTTCCGATGACTGTGACGTCCTTCAGCAGGACCTCGATCTCCTATCCCGGTGGTCTGCAGAGGTTAACCTACCGATCAGCCCGGCCAAATCCTCGTTTATAAGTCTGGGGAGGAGTGGTAATGGACGTGCGTACACCCTGGCAGGCCGCCCGCTGCACCCCACCAGTTCCGTAAAGGATCTAGGCGTACTATCACGCGGTGCTTTGTAGTCTATCGACAACACGAACAGACTGTAAGTAAAAGAACTACGCCTGCTTTTGGCATTTAGACGCAGCTTCTGTATTTGCTCTGAAGAGATTGCCACCCGTCTGTTCTCTTTCATGATAAGACCGGTGTTTGATTACAGCTCATCCGCTTATTGTCCGATCACAGGTGAGGTGCAGAGACTGGAACGGGTCCAGCATGTAGCTTTCCAGCTTTTCCCCATTTTACTGGGTGTGTCGTACGAGGACCGATGTAGGAGACTAGGGCTGTATATCCTGTCATATCGTCGGCTTCGAGTTGGTCTCATAATGACGCACAGCTTATTGCTTCTGAGCCACTTCCGTATTTTGAGGCTACTGTTGCACGTTCGTGCACCAAGTAGCACATGCGGACACCGGTACAAACTAATGGTACCGGATTTGAAGCGCATCGCTCACCCTCTATGCTTCGGGCGGCGAGTGGTGAAATATTGGAACAAGTTGCCGGATACGCTAGTTGTGGTGAGACCGATGTCGGAATTTAAGAGATTGCTTGACACCCATTTCGCGGACTACATGTATAGGGGGCGTATCGCATCCGGATAAGATGTAGTGCAGCTGCAAGATGCTGTCATCGCACAGGATCAGCGACATAATTCTTCTATCTCTCTCAATTCTCAATATTCATAAAGGGAAATGCTTGTTGCAAGCTTGTATCGTGTTTTTCTTCCAAGACCTTTACTTGTAATTATCTGTTTTACCCGACCAACGAAGTAGTTTTTGTCTTTCCTTTTAGCACTGCTCACTAACAGCCCGATCATCGGTTCACTTCTGATGGTGCATATTAATGTCACACTTTCGGAACCTTTTATGGATTCTGGGCGCTACACATCCATTTTCTCGCTGTGGCGGACACTGGAAAACATACCAGCTTGGCGCAATCATGAATTGTTTGACGTCCTATTCCCATACATATAACTCAGGTCTGAAGAACTCTAGGGATCCACCTAATACTTCTGTGGAGTCAGATGTGACCACTGAAGCGCCCGAAATTCCCGCTTGTGACCAGTTCGGGACCCTTGCAGCTGAAGGTGAGCTTCAAACTTTCTTTATCCGAACCCCGTGATTTCGCTAATATATTATCGTACTTCTACTCACACATGTTTAATTGTCTTGATAACTAGCGAGTGATCTATGAAGTAGCTACAAGAAGGAGAAATGAAACTAACTGCGTTCTAAATGCAAACAGTACGCTTGACATCTAATAGGTGTATGGTGGCGATCGGCCAGAGCCCCTTTGTCTTGGGCTACTTAGGTATAATACTTAGTGTTCGATAGTTACGTACAAATTGTGCTCGATCAACCGCGATGGGAATGGACGTGTGCATAGTGTTATAGTTGGCTTGCTTTCGGCGTCTATTTTAACCAGACGTGTCAATGTGTAGTCAGGGAAGTTTAGTGTCGACATTCTCCTCATAGGATGTTGGGAGGATAAATTGTTGACTCTGTTAGCTTTTGGGGATATAGCTATAAACTCAGCTCAGTTAGTTTAGACCTCGGTCCCCACAGGTTCTCTGTAACCGTGAGAGGACACTAGTTTGTCTGCCGACTGGTTTACTAACCCTGCCTTTAAACACCCAACTCCTGCTCCGTAACCTATTTTTATTGTATGTTTGTGACGTTGTTTCTTTAGTAGGGACCGATCGTTAATGCTGTTATGATCATTTCCATGCATGAGTGAGTTGTATATTCAGTAATGTCCTTGTTGTTAAGACATGAAGTGCACGGGTTTTGTGTTTTTGCCGAGTTTTGTGTTGCAGGTTTTTCCATTAGCCATGTATTTCCTAGTCCAATATGGAAGCATACATTTGGCGAATTTCTTGGGGAAAAAGTAGCCACTATCGAGTTCCGGTCCAGAAAACTTTCAAGGCTAATGCGAAATGTTCGTAAATCTACGTGAGATCTGATACTGGGTGGCGGACTATTCCGCAGGACTGAGTATCTGACGATGAAGAAGTTAGATCAGATAATTTTCCTGCTTCTTCACACAAATAGTTTACAAATTGTTGCGAAGGCGAGTGAAGTTATGTTACACTTCTAACATGTACAGATCTGAGTATTTTCCCTAGTTTATGAGCTTATGAACATCGTTGCAACCAAAGAGGCTTAAGATGAAGCCGCTGTCAATGCTCCTGAGCGCTCAAGCTTGTCCCTTTATTCAACAGCTGTTTAGTGGTTGATCTTTTCAGGTTTTTTCTAGGCTTTTCTGTCATTCAAACGCATGTTTCCACAAATGATGCTGCACTACTCAATAATGCAAATGATAAGGATTATGAACAGTTCGCTTTTGGCAGAGACTGCATGGATTTTATGGCATTTGTTAGTCATAGACCGTTTGACCCGCGTTATTTGCTATTTGGCCCACTATGAAAAGCTGAATTTGTAAGAATATCATACTCCTTGGTTTTACACAGAAGCTGTCATCTTTGGGTTCAACTGATTTATCAAAACTCGAACATCCGTAGGATACGATGCTTGATTTGTCAGCTGAGAACTTCACCAGCCACGTATCACACCATTTCTTGAGTGTATCGGTCTCCTTAAATGAGCAACATTTCGTCTCGTCGAAATTTATGAGCACTCCTAATGTCGTCGGCAGACAATTGATATGCGATGTTTAACGGACATGCCTATATCGTCACCACAAAGTAGGATCAGCGAGGGACTGGGTACGGTTCCGTGGATAACCCCACCAGTGATTTGGCATGAGGAAGAGTAATGGTCCCTCTGGAAGCACGCATTCAGGTACGAGGTTAACCAACTCAAGTGCTCCAAAAGGACTCAATTTTGTCAGTATCCGCTTGTGAATCACTCGGTCGAATGCTTTTTCCATGTCCAGGAATAAAAGTATAACGGCATCACAAGAGTCCAGGTATTGCAACTGACAAGTTGCACAGGAGGCTTTATTGAGAAATCCATGTTGGGATTTGTTAAGCAATCCAAGACGATAACTGAAGCTTATACTCCGCTTTTAATTTATTTTCCGAAGTCTAATATATTGGAGTGTGATGAATAGGTCGCTAATTGTCGATTTTCTGTTTGGCTCCACCTTTATGATAGGGATAGTAAGCGCTATTCTCCACTGATCCGAGAAATGGCCACATTCTACCGGCAAGGCAAGCATGTTCAGCCAAAACACCGATATGTCAGGTATTCCTAGGTTAATGGCGGATATGAGGTTGACATCGGAATCCAACTTGAATGATGACTTGATGAACTCCATAGTAAAAGAGAGCGAGAGGCATTAACAGCACGCCGGTACGCAGTACCAACGCTTCGCTGCTACGAAACCACCACTAGTCGTTCGTAGGCTAAGGATACTGCAAGTCACCCAGTCCCGTACGCAGGCTGGAACCTGCGACCTCAAAGTTGCACGGCCGACGTCTTGTCCTTTCGGCCCCAGTTCAGCGATGAACTCCATAGCCTGTTTTACCTCCGAAGGAGAAATCTCACACTGTATAGCTTGGGGTAGAGTTCCCTAAGACAACCCTCTACTTCGGCCGGGGCGATCGGGTAGTATCACGCCCACTGACCAATCCTGAATGGACTATACTACTGCTTTTATTCTTGCTGTCTACCTGATCTACTGTGCCCACTGCTCAATCTCCACTCACAGATCATCCCATGTCTCATTATTCAACTACACTTGTGTCCCCCCCACTCACCGCCAACACCAGCTCACTGGTGGCACATGACAGAAGTCAGAGTCAAACTCACAGTGTTCGATGTCCAGCGATCACAATCTTCTCACACTTCATCGAAACCCCAGATTTTCTTCGACCCGGTTCTCCATTCAGCCTCGCAACGTTTAGTGTTCGTACTCTGATGCAGATCGGACAGCAAGCACTCCTGAGACGCTCTCGGTATAGATCTGTTACCTCTCAGAAACTGGATCGTAAGACTCCATTATCGTCATCAGAATAACCTCTCCGGTAAACCGCTACATCAAATACCGGTTGCGCCTTTCCGGGGACCAAGATCTCGCTGCTTCTGACCAGGCTGGTGTTGGGGTTGCTCTGAGTGACAAGGCTGACACCTCTGCTTGACTGCATCCCAGTAAACAGTCAGCTATGTGCAGTCAGACTACGAAGTTCATGTAAGTTAAGTAAGTGTCGAGATGTTATACGCACTTTATTTGCCGTCTCCGCCTACGCTCTTACAAACTGCAGCCCGGATGCAGTCAAGGATTGCTTTTACCAACAATTACATGACCTGCGTTCCGCTAAAAATTCTGATATTGTCATGCTTGCTGGAGATTTAAACGCACGAATGGGTCGCCTGCCACCAAACGAGCACCATCTTGAGGGTAGTTTTGGCCTCATTAGCAGTCAATCAGACAATGTAGACAGACTACTGACTTTTTGTTCTGATCGTCGCTTGCTTCTTTTGAGCACCAGTTTTCGACACTTGAAGAGACAGGCTGCTAGCTGGTGCCCGCCTCAAACCCTAGACTTGTCCTAGTTAGATCACGTGGAGATAAGCTACAGATAGCGCGTATGCGTATCAGACTGCGGTTCATACTGATCACCTTGTCTGGACTCCGATCACGCGTTGGTTGGTGCTGTTATGCATGCGTTTCGGAGGATCGCCCAGACGTACGCCCTACCGACCGAGGGTAGAAAATCTACAAGACCTTACGACGTTAACCAAGTACCAGGCCTCCCTATCGACACTGCTTGCCCCAGCTTCTTATGATGATCTGAATTCACAGTGGATGCACATCCAAAATGACTTAGGTTCTGCCATCATTGATAGTTGCGGAGTTGCCTTTCACTCGCCGAAAAGTTGGATCACCGCTGTGTTCTTATCGCTGATAGACAGATGCCAGTTGTAGTGAACAAGGTCGATTCCTAGATCGAGAATCGCACAAGAGCTTACAAAAAGACCATGAAACCTGGTGTGGGGAATGTACTAGGAAGATGGAACTCACTAGCCTCTTTGATAGTACCAGAAAACTTTTCCATCTTATTCGAGTCACCGAAGGTTTTCGATCTGATGTAAGTGAACCAATCTGTGAAGAAGATGGCCCACTAATCTTCAACGACGGTTAAAACGACGGGCTGAACCTGTTGGCTCGCGGTTTTGCTGGCCGCCAGCTCCATCTACTTCCCCTGGAGCGCTCATCGGGTCTGAGTGGTCTGCCCCACAAATTCTCCCTCTTCCCAGGAAATCTGGTATGAACTCCGCGTCTTGCAGTGCTATAAAGCACCGGGCTCTTATGGGTTACCCCCTGCTCTATTTAAAGATTATGGATATTCGCTGGTTCGAGAACTCTGCTTTGTTCTCAGAAGTCTTGTTGAAAGAGGAGGTTCCATCAACCTGACGATGGGTCGATAGTCATCCACTTTTTCAAAAAGGGCCTGCGCACAATGTATTCCAACTACAAGCGTATCAGCTTGGTTCCCGTCGTTTGCAAGGTTCTAGTGTCCATCATACTTCGAATGCTATCCGTAACTCGCGAACCACTACAGCAGAAACAACAGGCCGGGTTCCCCCTAGCCGCGGCTGCATCGATCAAATTTTTACACTCCGCGAGTTCCTCGAGTTCCGCAATGTGTACCAAAAGTCAACTATTGTTGTATTCCTGGATATCCATGCTGCGTTCGATTCTGTCGACAGGACTGCATTGTGGCACTGTTTGTTGAGGAATGGCATCTCACCCGGAAATCTGGTATGAACTCCACCTCTTGTGCAGTGCTGTAAAGCACCGGGCCTTGATGGCTCACCCGCCCGTCTCGCTTTCTCTAAACTGAGGTACTTATGGCGCCGCCATGACATTAGTCTATCCATCAAAGGGCGGGTTTGTTGTGCGACTGTCTGTGCTGTACTGTTGTAAGATTGCGAGACTTGGCTTGTTCGTACCGTTGGCCTGCGCCGACTCTCTGGCTTCGAGCATCGTAGCTTGCGGTCCATTGCCTGGGTGTGGTGGCTGCACCACGTAACCAATGTGGAAGTTAGACAGTTCGTTTTGGGTGGTGGCAACCACTCGTTTGAGGACCTCGTTCAGTTGCCCTGGCTTGGTCACGTACTG